CCTCCCCCTCCCCCTCCCCTCCTCCCTCCCTCCCCCTCCCTCCCCCTCTCTCTCTCTCTTCTCTCTTTTTTTTTCTCTCTCTCTCTCTCTCTCTCTTCTCTCTTCCTCTCTCTCCTCTCTCTTCTTCTCTCTCTCTTCTCTCTCTATATATATATATATATATTATATATATTATATACATGTATGTATAAAGGATATTCATCCTTCCATTTTGGCATGATTGACAGATAGGCAGCTCTAAACTAATCATTATTGGGACGTCCTCAAACACAGGCAAAGCAAATTCTACGATACGCATGAAGATTAATAGGCGAACACGCGCCGAGCCGGAGCTGTCTTAGACTGCCACCGGTCACTAGTTTGCGTGGTGGTTGCAGGTGAGACATCGGGGACCGCTGGCGGAGGAGCTGCTCGGCGGCCCGACTATGCGGTACGTGCCGCGGCCAAGAACAATCTCCGCGAACGAATTCCGCTGCTATGCAAACTACCCGACGGCCGTGCTGACACTGACCACCGACCACTGCTGTCCAGCGGACAGCCAGATGACGGACAGACGGACGACGGACAGAACAGACGGACAGACGAATGGACAGACGCATGGACGGACATACGGACAGACAACGCTGTGCTGGACCACTGACCACTGACACTGCTGCCCAGTGGACAGCCAGACGGACGGGCGGACTGTAGTACTGCTGCTACTACAACTTTCACGGGCGTGTCAGCGGCTTGGTTGGCCATCGTACTCAAAGTATATTATTTTTACCGTGATAGTTATGACACATAATTAACCAAATAATAACCACAGTTAATTCATGTGTATCAGGGCTCTGATTGGGTAAAAGGGCTATAATTTAACTCTGTAAAAATAATTATTTCTGAGTACGATCGCGACAACCATATGTATGACAGAACATGAGGATGTTAAAGTGCTGAGAGAGATTGAAGGCCACAGTTGTTAGTAATATGTTGTTAGAGCTGTATGACTGGCTATGAGCTTTGTTGTGTGCGATCGTGTGGCAAACAGTCTATGTTTGCCTGTGCTTGTAAATACACCGTTGACTTCAATTTTATACATGCCTGATTGACATCATGTGTGTTTATTTTCGCAAAATTGTTGCAAATATAACCTTTTATCTATCAGTCTATCTTTGTCTGTGCTGTCACTCTGTCATTTTGGAAATCTATGGACCCTTCTCAGCCCTAGTACAAACACACACGCATTGCACGCGCACGCACACCACACAAAGTACAACACATATGATTATAGGCGACTGCAATCAGTGTTAGGATTATGTAGAGTGATAGAGCAAGTGCATGTGTAGTACAGGCAACCAGGTATATGTTATTCACGACTCGATGTTTCGATTATGCTTTACACTATGTCTACATCTATTTATATCTATGAATATGTATGCATTTCTTTGCCCCTTCCCCCACCACCACACACAACACCACACCACCACCACCACACACAGACACCACACCACACCACCACACACAGACACACACACACAACCACACACACACACACACACACACACACACACACACACAGCTCTTTACTGTGAGACACGTTCTACATACAGCGTATCAATGTCTTGACCGGCCGATAAGTCATCGCTGACGGTCACTGACGTCAGCTATATGATATGATAGCACACACCACGCGCATTCACCTCGACACACCTGGATACTCAACAGAACTCGGTCAGCAGCCGACAGTAGCTGTCACCGCATCTGTGTCTTTCACTGCCTAGCATAGCTTGACCGCCACTGTGTGGCCTGCCTAGCGTAGCTGTGACCGCACCTCACTGCATCTGTGGTTACCTGCCTAGCGTAGCTGTGACCTCACCTCACCTGATCTGTGTGGCTGCCTAGCATAGCTGTGTGTTCTACCTAGCAGCTGCTCTTATATAAGCAGGCGCCGTCCTAAACCTACATAGCAGCTATCTGATCTACCAGGAACTATTCTGCCGTGCTTTAACAGCTGCGTTGCTGCGCTCAGGAGCTATCTTATCTAGTTAGAGGCTGTCCTAACACTATATAGAAGCTCTACGAGGATCTGGTGCAAGTCTATCCAGGATCTGCTTCCAAGTCTATCTAGGATCTAGCTTCAGTTTCCAGGATCTGTTCCAAGTCTATCCAGGATCTGTCCCAAGTTCTCGATCCAGTATCTGTTCCAAGTCTATCCAGGATCTGCTTCCAAGTCTTATCCAGGATTCTGTTCCAAGTCTATCCAGGATCTGTTCCAAGTCTATCCAGGATCTGTTCCAAGTCTATCCAGGATCTGTCCCAAGTCTATTCAGGATCTTCCCCAAGTCTATCCAGGATCTTCTCAAGTATCTCCAGGATCTGTCCCAAGTCTACTCAGAAGCTATCCTGTTCCCATACGGGATCTCTCCCAACTCTATCAAGGATATATCTCGAGTGTACAGAGGATCTGTGACTGTGATACCTACAGACCTTACTTCACGCTGTGTTTGTTCGCTCTACATAGAAACTAGACTACGCTGTAACGGGGCGAGACGCCGCGGTAAGTTCGGCTAACGCTCCATTAGGAGTGTTTCCAACTTTGATATCATTAATGATTAATGATTAATGATTAATGATTATTGATTGATAATCCTAACCCTAACCCTAACCCTAACCCTAACCATTAATGACATTAAAGGTGGGAACACTTCTAATAGAGTATCACCCGTAAGTTCTTGCAGAAGTTTTTCGTGCACGATTACTACGCAATCGAGATGGGGGGAGGAGCGGGTCTAACGTTGGCTACTATTCTAACTACTAAAACCAGGGCCGTAGCCTGTGGGGCGGGGGGGGGGCAAGGGGGCAGCTGCCCCCTAGATTTTGGAGCAAAATTAAAAAATAAGCTTAGCTAATAATCGTAAATAACCCTAATAATAAATAATATAACGTGATTTGTTTCGTTACTTATCCGTGAAAACCTTGTCTCAGGCCCACCCCTACCACACTATGGACGTCGATCAACAGCTGCGCCCGTCGCTCATCATTACACAGTTGGGTCATAAAATTCTGGCCCCCCTAGGAAACTGTCAGAAATATCATGTTACGAATTATATTACGATTATAATAATGTTGCGAAGTCACATGCCGCTATATTATTTCCCGCTTGCAGCAGAACAAGATGAAGATTGACGGCATGGTTGCCTTGGTAACGGGAGCGGCAATGGGCATTGGCAAGGCCATCTGTCAGATGCTGCTGGAGAATGGAGCGAAGGTATAGATGGCACTGCTGTTCTGGGTTAGTGAGCCTACTCTCTCTCCCCTCCCCGTCATCCCCCCTCTCTCTCTTTCTCGCACCCTCTCTCTCTCTGTGTCTCTTGCCTGTTGATAACAAGTTCCTTCTCTTCCTTCTCCTCCTCCTCCTCCTACTCCTCCTCGTCCTCCTACTCCTCTTACTACTCCTCCTCGTCCTTTTCTTCCTTCTCTTCCTTCTCCTCCTCCTCCTCCTACTCCTCTTGCTACTCCTCGTCTTCCTACTCCTACTACTCATCCTCCTCCTTCTCCTCCTCCTACTCCTCCTACTCCTCCTCCTCCTCCTCCTGCTACTCCTTCTACTCCTCCTCCTCCTCCTCCTCCTCCTCCTCCTCCTACTCCTACTCCTCCATAGAGATGGTCAAGGCCTCCCGTGCACACACGGAGTTAGTGGCAGTGAATCTACGTCCCGTGGAGACGGTCCAGGCCTCTATACTTTACACACAAGAGTAGTGACAGTGGATCTGCGTCTCTTAGAGACGGTGCAAGCCCCCTTAAATTGACTACGTCACGAATTTTCTATGGTGCTATTTGTAAAAATTTTGTTGCCATTTTTTAACATTAAAAGTAAGTACTAACGGGACTAAACGTATCGTCAAATTCTTACCTGATAAGATTGTTTCTCAGCTAGTTAAAAATCCAAAAGACCTGGACGATTTGATATTATTATCCTGATATTAATTGCTTGCTATGGACTATGTATGAGTCACGAGTGTATGTTCACATCGAACAATATAGGAATATAGGAAGTATAATGCATCACTTTAACCACAAAAAGTGAACAGAATTACTTACATTTTGTGAAAAAGTAGAAATATTTTTTTTAGTTTTACTATTTACGGTGACGTAATCACTTTAACACACACGTGTCTTTCTGTATTAGGGCGTCTGCTTGGTTGATCTCGTTGATGTGGGTCACAGAACTGCCGCCGAACTGGCCTCTAAGTATGGAGATGGCCGAACAATATTCGTCAAGGCGGATGTTACGAACAAGGAACAGCTAGAAGGTGCTTACTACACTCGTTTTCCTTCTCTCTATCTCTCTTTATCTCTCTCTCTCTCTCGCACGCACGCTCTCTCTCTTTCTCTCGCGCTCTCTCTCTCTCTCTCTCT